TTTTCTGATCGTCGAAATTCCAGAAAATTCAACTGTTATTTTGTTTGTCTTCCTATTGATATAGTTTATTGCTAAGGAAAATGTAGTACCAATTTTGGCAGCGATGACGAACAACGTTCTGTTAACTGAGGGAAGCATTCTTGATGCTTCCTACAGGATAGACGTTCATAAAAACATTCAGATTACCTTTTCGTTTGCTTCCCTTGTAAATTTAATAATAGCATCAGGTACTAGCTGCTGCTACTTGATTCGTGATGTCTTTGCTGCCGTTAACGTCAAGTACAGTGATAATAATATAACATAAATGATACAAAAATATCGATTTATAGACATCCACTTCAGTTTAAACTTTATAAGAAAAGTGAGGTTGCTCTACGGTTTCAATTTAAAAGAAGTCTGAATGCAAGACAAGAAAAGTATCAAAAATTAAACTGCTAATTATAAGCAAGGGAAACTCTAACGAAAAAAAAATTTCGCGAGGAAAAATATTGATAAATTCTTTTTTGTATTTTAGATCAACTTTTGAGTATCAGCGACTGCGATGCGAAAAATAGAGCTGAAAAAATGTTATAATCGCTGTTTTGGGGAACACAGCGACTTACCGGTTTTATCTCACTTGCGTATTAAGCAGTAATACTAAGAAGATATGTCTATATTGTTGTTTCTTTTTCGATTTGATTGAAGCGTAGAAAAACTAGCAAAGGATCGACAATTGTCTGCGACGACATTATCTAGAACATTTTAGTCCCTGCTTTGTCAGTTTTCTAATAACATCTAATTTTCAAGCTGAGGTTGAAACATGGCGGAATGAATTTTAACATCCAAAACTGAATACCTACCAGCGAAATAAAAATAGCGAAGGCCCCGACATTGCACATTTTTGAATCCATGATGACATTTCTTCGCCTATTTAGCCAACTCCTAAGCGGAAAAAACAGCCATGATATGAGGTGTACGCGAAAGTCAAGGCTATAATTTGCCTGGTAAATATAACTGAGATGTTTGGATTAGTCGCCTTATAATGAACTGGCAGGTGATATTATTTTCCTTCTGAAGAGCTCATGGCTGGATTGTCTTCCTGGGTCCAACAGAAAGGTCTAGTTGTTTAAATTTTAACCATTAACGTCACCATTATTGTTTCGTCACAAAATGTGATTTCAATTTAAATCTAGAAAGAAGAAAATTTAACGGTTGCATTGAAGTGTGGACATATATTTCTACATCTAACCGCAAGTTATCAGCGAAAATTATAAAAAGAAGCGAGGCCGTTCCTGCACAAGTACGTACGCGATAAGGGTCAAGTTTAGATTGAAATAAGGGAAAGAATATTGCAAGAAATATTTCGAAAGTCTCCGGTCAGCAAAAATCAAGCATTCTTCTCTCTGTTTTTGTGTTATGAACCTTTATTACTGTTAATAGCTAAATAAATCCTCCGAAACGGTGCACGTCCGTGACTGTCTTCTCGAATCGTTAACATCCAAAACCTTCTCAAGCGCTCATAACTTTGATTAATAAGGGCCTGTAATTGAGGCTTACAAAGACCGCCCGCTGTGTCTCATATCCCGCTTTTTCAATTCAAGAGAAAGAGTTAGAATAACGCGAAAATATGTAGAATATGCACAAAACTGAGTGCAAAATTCTAAGACAGCACGTTTCCCTTTTTCAAAGTACATCATTGCAGAACCTTCTGTAATTGCCAAAATCATGTGCATAGTGTATTACTGTTATCAATTTTAGGATTGCCAAAATAAACACTGTAAAACTTAATTTAAACTTACCAATATTCAGTGGTTGACTAAGGAAAGTAAAATAAATTTTGAATTATTACAGACAGCATCCTAAGAAAAAGTAGGGTACAACGTTTGAATAATACGGACTTCATTTCGCTTTATAACTTGTCGCACAATCACTATAACGGTCTTAGCCTGCTTATGATAACCGTAGGAATCTACTTCCGAATTTAAGTAGATAAACAAGCACATCAACAGAATTTTTCTAATCTCCAGGTTAAATTTTTTTCCCTTTTGAGTGCTCCGTTAAAGTCTTCTGGTGACGTCCTAAAGCAGACAGGTATGTATACTACTTAGTTCGTTTCATCTTGTGCGAAGTGTTGCACCTGCGCAATCACGCATTAATCATATAGGATAATTTAGATACCCAAACAAATAATCCGCTGGTAATCCATTCCCTACGGCCTACCACCCAGTAAAAAAATCTAATCAGCTTGTAAGGAATTTAACCTAATAAAAATGAGAAATGTTCAGTGATTGCCGTAAAAGCCTTTCCGAAGATGATTTGCGGTAATTTTACAAACTGCAAATTAAACGAGAAACACCCGCTGTGGTTCAAATATGGCTGTAAGATAATTTATAGTAGCGCTTTTTTATTTTGATTAACTTGTGCTCCTTCACTATCTCTGCCGTTCATGATGAAAACAAGAATTTATACGGCAAATATGAAAATCTTATCGGTAATTGGTAAAAGCAGTATTACGATATAACTGTGAAAGTCAATATTCATTTAATAGCTTGTTGAAACAAGTAAAAAAAACCGATTAAGAACTAAATGTTGCACAACATCTTTACAAATTTGTGCCAAAGAGTTACAATTTTTTCTGTTGTAGCATTTGAGTTCGTGAGGACACCCCTTAAGCATTTATAATAGCTACGTTCCTTGTGTACTGTGATGACGAAAGGGTTCCACACATAGGAGAGAGCAAAAGAATTTGCTTCGCTAAGTTTCTTAGGCTTTAGTTCTTGTCCTTGCATCTGCATAATATTCGATGAATACCGTGGTAAGAGGTGGGGACTGGCCTGTCTGAATATGGGACCAAAAGTACCTATGCAAAGTACCTGTAGTGAGGTGTAGAGCTACCAGAAAATATTCTGTTGTCTGTCTTTATTATAAGTTTCATGGGACTAGAGTACTTATTATTAGGAGTCCGGTGCTACGTTTTTTCATTCTCATTTGCACTTGTTTCTGGAGGTCACCCATGTTAACTTTATTTTTTTGAATCGGAGAACACAAGACGACCCCTACTTCGCCGCTAACCAGACTCAAGTTACCCCTGCCCCTGTTGCCGTTTCGTCTGATCTTAGCGCGATCTTGGAAGCTCAGAAGAACTCGATCCTCGCCGCTCTTAATTCGCAGATTAAAGATCTTCGGACCAGCTTGCTGAAAGCGCAATCTGAACTCGCCTCTCTCATGATAGCATCTGAAGTTCAGTACAGTTACGTCTGCAAGAAAAGAGGTAACGAGCAGCAATGTAGGTTATCAAGAGGTCCAACTTAGCCGTTTAGTAAGACCTTGGAGAGTCGCAACATCGCCAAAGCTAAGGAGGAACTTGCTCAAGGTATTTCTTTACTTGTTAGTAGGCAAAAGATCATTAGAGCTAGCGGATTAATCGTAAGTCGGTTGGGTAACAGTGCAAGAGTTACTGTACCTTGGTGATGATTTGGCCGATAACGGGGCTGATGCTTGGAAAATTTAAAAGGCTGAAAAACGTGCTGCTTCTAGGATTAAAGCGTTGAAAGACAAGAAACTTAAAACTAACCCTAATGTTTCTATCCAATCGTCTACTCTCCAGTCTAGTGTTACTATAAGCCGGGCTGATGATTTTTGCAGCATCTTTCCTTCTGTCTCCCCGTTTTTTCGTCCCTAAAGTCGACTCGCTGCAGGTGCTTCATTCAGGTTCATCGAGTTGTGTTTTTGATGCGGAAGAAAGGGACATTGGGCCAGCTCTTGCTCCCTCTCACAGATAAACCATCGGGATCTAAATCCACAATCTTGGGCAAAAGTGTTGAGAAAATTGGACAGCATTCTTCTTAACATCGTAGCTGTACCGATTCTTCTCTCTCCCCCTTCCCCTGGAAGTAATGTTGTTGTGTATTCAAAAGAAAGCCTGATCCCTAGGCGTTTGTAGGAAGCCACATTGAATTGGGGGAAGGGATTTTCTTTCCGCAAAGGCGTCGTTTTGGAAATAGTTTTGTTGCCTAGGAAAGTGGACATGATGGTTAAACTTTCTCAAGTAGTTTTGTCCGGGATTGTAGATAACTTTGAACACCAGGACTTTGAACAGGATGTAGTAAACGAGTACAGTTTAATTCAAGGGAAGCTTCGTGCATGCATCTCATTTTGGGAGGATACTGTCGAGGCGTCCGATTTCGCTCTTGATATAATTGAGCATGGGTACAAAATTCTCTTTTATCAAACACCTCTACGTTACTCTATCAAAAATGAATCTTCTGCTTTACCTAGGGGCCTGATATCCGAGTTGTTGTTTCCTGGCTGTATTGAATCAGCGCCTGATTTGACCCTTATTTTTGCAATCAATACACGTTGCTGACAGTTCAATAAACAGGGACTTAAACTTAAGAATGTTTGATTTAAGAATTCAATTTTGGCTGTTCATAACTTTTGTGCTACCGATTTTCGAACTTTTTTTTTCTTTTGTAGTTTCTTTAAAATGTTTGCTTTCTTTGTAGTCTTGGGACTGTGCGGCCTCCAGTGAGCACGCGATAGGGTTTTTGAATAAATTGTCGGAAAATATTCTCTTGTCGGTCAAGGGACTTGGTAAAGTTTTTAAGGAGTGGTGCTAGTTTCTTTTTCATTCTCTTTGTGCTCGTTTCTGGAGGCTATCTACGTTCATGTTTTACCAGATTTTTTGTTCTTGCTTATAGCTGATATATATTACTAATTTGTTGCTTCAGAGTTAATTCTGGTTTTTTTACTATAACGACTAGGGACCATTAGTCCCCGTATGAAGATGTGTTCAAGTCTGACATGTGGACCAAGTGTTTTCCTCTATTCCTGTACATCTCCAGCCACTGGCCAGCATAGTACAGGAAACTGTCAGTCGTGTCCAAAGCTGATAGGACTGTGCGTGCTTACCATGGAGGTTTCAAGAGATGGAGAAAATGGGCCTCATCCAATCATTTCTGCCACCTGCCAGTCAACCTTTTACAGTTCGCGCTTTACCTGCAGTATCGTCTTAATGAAGTCAACAGTCTCTTTCCCCGCTAATCAATGACTTGTTCAGTATTGACTGGGCGCATAATTTGACCGGCTTACCGAAGATTTCTGACCACCCTCTGGTTTCCTCTGTGATTAATGCGGCTCAAAGACTTTTGAGGAGGCCGCGAGTGAAAAAAGATCCTGTTACCCCGGAGATGCTGAGAGCTCTTGTGGAATCCAAAATAAAAGATAAATCACCTGAGAACAGTTGCCTTGTGTCTTATTGGCTTTCGCGGATTTTTTTCGTTTTAGCTTAACTAATGTTAAGTTTTCTCATTGGTATGTTTTCGCTTTTCTAGAATCGTCGAAGACTGACCAATTTTGTGACGGGTGTTGGATTTCTATCGCTCAGACAGGCCAACTCACTTAGCTTTGCCCAGTGGAGGCCTTGGAACGATATATTGCGGCGGCCAACATTCGTGGAAGTCTTACCTTTGTTCCGAACTCTCGCGTCTCAACGCTGGAAAGAAAAGGTCCGACGCCAAGGGATTAGCTATACAAAACCAAGGAGTTTTTTATGGACGCCTTCAGGTATTTAACTGACGTTTCCAACATTGGTACTCATAGTCTCCGAGCCGGAGGAGCAACGGCTGCCGACAATGCTAGTATTCAGGACAGACTTTTTAAGCGTCACGGCCTTTAGGCGAGTGAGATTGTGAAAGACGGTTATGTTAAGGACACTATCCATTTGTGTTTAGCGTTCTCTAGATCCTTAGAGATTTGATCCTTTCCGAAATTTGTTAAGACCGAGCCCGGCAGGTCGTGGGAGATCTATCCATGGGGCCAGGATTTCTCCCCTGTTTTGCCGTTGCGAGCATGGTGACGTTTTTTCCTCCTATATGGGTGCCCGCTAGCTCTCCTATTTTTGTTCCTGTTTTTTTTTTTACAAGTGTTAACCGAGCTATATTTGCTACCACCTTGATCGCGATAAACTCGAGCGGCCTCCAGTGAGCACGTGATGGTGAGTTTAGGTGTTTATTGGGTATTTAGACAGGAGCAGCCGTTTGAGTCTTCAACAACTTGAAGAAAATATTGCAAGGTTCGAAAACCCAAAGAAAGCTATCAGCGACAGCAAACAGTAGTACAGCAACATCGGGTATACACCTTTTATAATTTTTTCGCGTTCGAAGTGAGAGGAACGTAACTCCTAATTTTGGGATTCCTGTATTACTTTCTTATGCTGTGGTATTAAGGGGTGACCTTTTCAGCAAGTTTTTTCTTCGAATAACGTCTTATGTGAATGCACATCACCCTAGTTCGATCAAGGTCAACCAGATGATGCAACTGATGGCAAAAAAACTGACTTATTTGATTTCGGCGAAGATGTAAAATTTGGGGTTGTTTTCGAAGCAGGTTTTACCGAAGAACTAGTGATTCTGTTTTTGCTACATCGACAGGTCAAGAGATGTAATACCGGTCAAATTGATCGAGCTGAAACTTCGTAGAAAGACACATATAAACACCAGGTAAGATTCTGCCAATTGAGGAATTTTAACCGTGAGTTAGGGTCCATTTATTGACTCGCAGTTTTTTTTCTCACCTGCATGGAAAACATATTGGGATAAAGTTAACCCATGTATTTTTATGTTTATACATTGTACTGCTTTATTGAGGTCTGAAATATCTGCGAATGATTTAAAAAAAAGGATATTGAACAATGGAGGATGAGTAAACGAATTGAAATTGAAAAGAGAAAACTGGACTGAACTGTTAGTTCTTAATGCTCGCCATCGGTCGATGACCACACTCAATTCTATTAACGCTGGAACCGATCATATCACTCAAGAGAGGCTCATTCTCTCTTGTATAACTTCATCAACTTCAGCAAGAAATATCGACGTCTGGCTCGACAATTTGGTATCTATGGACAAACAGATTGCTTCTATTTCCAAATCTGCATTTTTTCCATCTCCAGAACATAGCGAATATAAGGAAATTTATATCTTTTCAGCACTGCGAGACCCTTATTCATGCAGTTATCACTTAAAAGTTAGATTATTGTAATTCCGTTTTATCCGGGCTTTTCAAGAATCAGACTCAGAGACTACCGTATGTTAAGAACACTGCTGTGCGTATAGCCTGCGTAGCAGGCGCCTGGAAGTAGTGGGCGAAAGAGAGAACTGGCGCGCGAGGGAGACACGCGAGGGGCGAGGGAGCGCCTGCACGGAAGGCCCCCCGAAAATCGTTCCAACTAGCATTCTGTGAGTGCGGATATTTCCAGTTGGTCGAGAGGCTCCCGAGGGAAAAAGTTGCCGCGCGGGGCAAGAAAACTGTCAATCAATAGTACATGGACAGCGTAGTGAAGATCTTCTTTTACACTACTAGCCCCTGAAACCACTATTTAAAATTGTATACAATCGAAGTTCAGGTCTCGGAGGTTACTTCAATCTGGTTTGATGGGACTATGTGGCTGTAATCTAAAAGAAAAGTTGGAGTGTTCAAACGGTATTCACGATGGAAGAATTGACATCAGATACGCATTACCAGAAGTGGCGAGAGACAAAAGATTTGCCGAAAGATCAGAGGAAATATCCTTTGCTCAGGAGAACTTGGCGGCTTGTGTTGTCGATGGAACGAATACCATCAAAACTTGGACATGATTGATGAAATGAAACACTTGCCAGGGGCATGAATTTGAAAAAACATTTCACTATTGTATTATTCGCCGTTCGGAGGCGACCTGAGGTCTGTTGTTTATGTCTCGTAACTGTGTCGGTACAGTTTGTGTTTTGAAGTTTAGGTCCGCATAGCTAGTAAGACATGTCTGCCCCGAAAACGGCTGCCATTTTTAATAGCGCAGTAAACGCAATGGTCATTTTCCACGTACGCTGTGATCGTTGGTCTCTGTACGTGAGTTGTGGCTAAGTAAGATCAGAGAACAATATTTTTAGTTTTTTATAATACACAGCGTGCATTCTTTAAAAGATACCCAGTTTTGACTTTGTTATTTCCTATTTATTGTGGCCGTGGTTAAAGACGATTTAAAACTGTGTGTTAACCATCAGTTTATTTCTCCATCGCTCTATAATCAGATAACCCAGCTGATGTTTATAACAGATATATTTACCAGCTCGTTCCCAGGGTTCTCTCCTACTCGCCCTACGGAGCGAGAGAGAGAGACACCCTGGAAAACGCTGGTCACGTGGCTCTAGAACAAAATGAATTCTGAGGGAGGAGTCCTTTGTCTCACATTTGTTTGTCTGGTTTATTTGCAACATTCACGCAGTGATCGCAACAGCAAGATAGATTTGCTAACCCTACTACAACTATAACGGAAACTAAGGGAAATTTCTGCCTAAACAAAACTATCAGATAAACAAGTGAATTACCAGAGAAGGAATCACATGGAATCAAACACTAGCGTTATCGCCGGTTTAACCGATGACACCAATCGCTAAAAATCTAAGATCTTGAATTATACACAAGCGAGTTAATATTTTGAAGGTAGAATCCCTGTGCGTTGAACTTCTATATTAAAAGTTTCAATGTTTGTCTGACAGCGGCTGGTCAGATCGGGCCAAATAAACCTACACCATTTGCGGTCTTAGCGGTTCGGCGTGACAAACCCCCGGGACAAAACATCGCAGTTACATTGACAGCAAGGAATGCATATAGTACATTTACGATTCGATTAAGTGACTTCACGGAAAGCTATAGCCTAAAATGTCAGCATTTTCCACCCCCTAACCTTTGTTATGATACAGCAATAGAAAAGTGGTAAATAGATCAAAGATAAAGATAGTTATATACCAACGCGACATGGAAGACAACAGGAAAAAGTATAAACAGACACAAACAGACAACATGACCTGCATAATAGTAGTCTTTAAAGCACATACAGATACTGTATTTGTTTTCTAAAGTGGCCTCCACAACATAGAAATGGCAATTCAAATCTAATGCGTTTCGGTATGAATTCTAATACCAGGATACCTAATTATTTTTGGCTGCACAAACGGTGAATCCTCCGCGATTTCCGTTGCATGTGCCAAATGAAAGCATCGCTGATAAACATCCGATTAGCCTCCAGATATTCTGCAGGAAGTTACGCTTTCAGGATTGGCTGAGAGCAGTAATTTTGTAGTCAGCGTAATTTGAAAATTTTGAACGTATACATAAAATATACAAATATTACTCCTACTAGGTAGTAAAAACAAAAACAGCATGATAATTACTCGTGATATTTGAAAGAAACACCAAAAAAACATTTCGTGCGACCAGTAACTTTACTATAAATGACAAATGTTGTTACAAATACCAGGGTGGAATTTCTTATAGACCTAGTACTGTTTTCTACACTTGGGTTTTGGTGAGAATGCATGGTTAGATGCCCCGTACAAAGCTGTAGTGTGATTTCAGTAAGACCCAAAGGACAGGCAAAGTGAGTAAGATAAATAAGAAGACATAAAATTGGAGTTTAACGTCCATTTTTTTTTGTGTTCTCCCTCTTAAAATCAAGCGCAACTTTAGGTTACATTTTCCGTATTTAATTTCGGATTTCTGTTTAGGAATATAAGGTGTTCCAAAACGCGTAAGTACGAGTTGTGGGCAGAATTGTATTAATCATAGTAACTTAGAGAGAACTCCACTGCTGGTAAACATCAGGTTTTTGATGGAAAGATTACCACAAGAGGTATAAATTGACAAGAAATTAAGTGCCACACCGCGTAATATGAACCAATTATTAAGTTGCCATAAGCTGCATATCTGAAACATATGTAATCACTTGTACTTGGCTGAGCAAAATATTATGATTTGTTAGTGGTGAGCAAATCAATTATTTACGGATGTTGAAGACCGAGGCAAATTATAAATCTGTAAGACTGACAAATCACAATATTTTTCTGGACCCGAATTCGATAGTTATCGTGTAGTTAGTTCGAGGTTCGTTTGTTTGCTTGTTTTTGTAACATTATCGACGGACAATGAGAAAGTTTTGTCCAAGCGAAAGAGTTTAAAAAGTTCACTCATTTTTTTAGCATTTTTGACTGATTAATACAACAATTTGCAAAAAAGGCCAAACATTCTCCCTTTATTAATTATAAAAAAAATAATGGGCAAGAGGAATTACAAGTGCAGCTGTTGTAACAGTTGTTTACAGTTTGTCAACAATTAATCTCTGTTGTACGTAATAGTTATCCGCAGTGAAAGTAATGATATCTAGCCAACCAATACTTAAATAATGGTAGTAGTACATATGTGGCTTACTAAGTGTTTGATTATCTAGTACTAACGTGAACAAACTATTTGTCAACATTTCTTGGCGCGACCTGACACTTGACTTGATGAACATGAGCCTGGGCACTAAACATGATTTGCCTTCACAAATCTTCCTTCTGTTCCTTTTGTGGATAAACTGCATTGAATTCGGAGCAACATTAGGTAAGTAGCTCAAAATTAATATTCCAGCATGTTCTGAATCGAACAGAAATATTATTCAGCGTTTGTCCAACTTTCGCTGAATCATTACAGCTTGCAAAATTATCGCAAAGTGTTATTTTTTGTGTAAGTAATATATATTTATGTATTCTTTATCGACCATTATCCCTCTTTGGCGCTGAGTATACGGCAGATCACTTGTTAGTGTAACGAAAACATATAAATTTCTGTAGTCAGTTTATTAACTTGTTCACTCTCCATATT